TTTCCCCTTTTTTTTTTTTTTTTTTTTCTATTTACACTACCCCTTTTGATGTGCTAAAAAGCACTGGATATCAGTTGGATGAGCAGTTTTTACATCATAGTACCTCTGCATTGACTTTGTCATAGCCCTATGGTGTGTTTGTGTTTCTCCTCTAGTAAGCTTCACTTGCTGATATTATGATCGTATATCATCACTGACCACAGTTTTTGAGATAGACAAGGAGAATTCCTTGAAACGAGGTGCCTATGTATTATTTTATTGCATTTAGAAGGTCATGACACGTAACATCTTGAATCAAAGATGAGAAAATTTTCCTGTATTCTGTCCATAATATTATTGTTCAGTCTTTTCTTACTTTATCTGGCCTGCATTTTGCAGGTGACAATAAACTACCTCTTAGGAAATTTAGGCAAGAAATATTCAAACACAGTTGGAGTAGTAGATCTTGGTGGTGGATCTGTTCAAATGGCATATGCTATCTCTGAGACGGATGCTGCAAAGGCACCAAGGTTATCTGATGGAGAGGATACATATGTGAAGGAAATGTTTTTGATGGGAACCAAATATTACCTCTATGTTCACAGGTTGGGTTCATCAGTAGCTGTAGCTTTTGTGTTTTATCAGGCTGTCTTAGAATTTTCTTATGTACAAAAAGAATTTTGGTACAGTTATTAGCTTTCCTGTGGAGACAAGATTGAGTAATTTTATGACTGCAAGTTCATAATTTGATTGTGGCATCTTTCACGTGCAGCTATTTGCACTATGGTTTACTAGCAGCTCGAGCAGAAATGTTGGATGCTTCAGAGGACTCTACCAATCCGTGTATCCTGGCTGGTTATGATGGTAATGAATCACTTAATTTGTAAGAGGCGGGATGAGTTTTGCTTTTCATTTTATCGTGTTGATTCATCTTCTTTTGTGATTAGAGGAATTAAATTTCATGTAAATAATTTGATGCTGCACAATTTGCTTTTCAGAAGATGAATAAATTGTGTATGATTAGAAGACATTAGTTAGAATGTTAGTTTTCTATGTTCAATGCCAACCGTTTAACAAAGTATATAATTAAGAATTTGGCCAACATGCAACTTGATGAACGAGACATGATACCATTAGATGTGGGGCACATGCAATGGACATGCTGTTTATCATGAAATTTTCTCCCAATTATTCCTTTCTCTATCGTTATCAGTGGAAAAGTGGAATGATAATTGTAATAATGTGTGGTGTCTTTTATGATTTAAATTTTCAAATGCACTAACAACTGTTTTCCCTCTAAATTGCTTGTTTTAGATTGTGAACTTTTTGCTTTAGCAATTGAGTTTCATTCAGCATATCTCTTAAATAATATTTGAATTAGCTGTGGTTATAGTTTAAATAACAACATCTTGCATATATGGTGTTCAGATGAGCAAATGGACTAATAAATATGCTTTCATTTGCTGGTCTTCAAAACAGGGGTATATGAGTATGGGGGAAAAGACCATAAAGCATCGGCTTCTCCATCTGGTTCAAACATGGAAGAGTGCAGGAGATTAGCTCTTAATGCTCTCAAAGTTAACGAATCAACTTGTACACACATGAAATGTACATTTGGTGGGATATGGAATGGTGGAGGCGGGGATGGACAGAAGAACATGTTTGTTGCATCATTTTTCTTTGACAGAGCTGCTCAGGTGCTAATCATCCTTAAGTTTTCTCGTGAAATTCGTCATGGGTTACATCGTCTCCTTTGCAAATTTAGCATGCTAACTAGATTATTTACATTTATAGGCTGGTTTTGTTGATTCAACTGTACCAGCTGCCAAAGTTCAACCTTCTGATTTTGAGAATGCAGCGAAGCGTGCTTGTGAAACTGAACTAGAGAATGCTAAATCCATATACTCAAGTGTGGACGATAATGATCTGCCATACATATGCATGGATCTTGTCTATCAGTATACATTACTTGTAGATGGATTTGGTAAGTCCTTCGCACTTGAGCGAGTTGTCAAAGTCCACTAGCTTTTGCACCTGAGAGCTTATGCTA